TATATATATTGGGGTGAGGCGGCATAGCCGCTTTGTGTTGGTATTGGGATCGTTGATGCATTTCCACCCGCATACATTGGGGTGAGATGGCATAGCCTCTTTGTGTTGGTATTGGTATCGTTGATGCATTTCCACCCGCATACATTGGGGTGAGGCGGTATAGCCGCTTTGTGTAGTTTCTTGATACCGTGGTTATACATCCACCCGTACACATTGGGGTGAGGCGGTAGGGCCGCTTGAGTAGAGTTGTGGTATTGTACTTACACATCCACTGGCATACATCGGGTGAGGCGGCGCGGCCGCTTTGTGTGAAGATGGTTACAGAGGATCTCATCTTTAATCCTATAAATGATATTGATAGCTCTTAATAAGCTTTCTTTGGTTTAAACGGTTAGCTATATCATGCTATTGTCACCCCGATTCATCATATTCATATTGTATTTCTAAATTCTTAAATTCATGTTTGGTTTTCATACTAGTACTATTCGACGGTACTAACGTCCCTTTTGCTGGGGGTGCTGTATATTTGAATGGATGCAGGTGGTTCCACAACAGGAGGTTTTGATCAGTGATAGCAGTACAACTTCTTCTCAGCTGACTTGGTGAGCCCCACTTCATCCCGGCGTCATGTATATTTTATTCTTTGTGTATTCTGTTTGAGGTATAGCTAGGGCCTTGTTGCCGGTATTATCATTGTACTCCTCTTTATCTATAGAGGCTCTGTACACATAGTGTGGGTTGTGTATTGGTGCTGGGAAAGACAAACTATGTTATGTTGTGGTTGTATTACTTGTCCCATTTGAGACTTTAAAAATAATGCAAACTATTGGTAATGAGTTGGTATTATAGACCATGATCACGTTTTGGCTAATTAATAAAAATATGTATTATCTTCATTCGTGGATGAGTTTGGGTAGAAGGAAATCTAACAGGCTTGCTTGGTCGGGTTCTCTCGGTTGAGCGCCGGTCGCGCTCCTCGGTTTTGGGGCATGACAATAACCTCCTCTTATACTTTGGAAATTTTGTATCCATCTATTTTTGATTCACCTTAATGTTGATCTATATCTACCACTAATAACTTGAGACCTCTTACGTAATACATTGTCACTAGGGCTCACGTATCATCGATGAACATCTGATCCACCTAGGAGTGATACTATACTTTAATAACCGTATTTCATAGCATCCAAACGTGATTCATCTTATGGGGGTATTCTAATACCGTGCCATTCATGAAATCTTTTTTTTTTCTCAAAATCATTACTCAATCAAATGCCTAAACGTCATCCACTTATCTATCACAATCACACCCTTATTCTACTGCCAGGGTTGCATTTCATCTCTTCTAATTGCTCATATTCTTAGATTCCTCTGAGTTCGTTCAGACTGTACCGAGCTTTCTATAACTTATGGAAACTATCAGCTCTCTTGTTTTGATAGGCTTAATCTCGAGGCTTTATCTGTTCTCGTCACCTTCTCACTCACATTTTCATAACCTTACTCTTGGCTATCTAAACCTTGTCGCTCTATCATACTTTAGCTTGCGACTTACACATACCTTTAAATTGCTAGCACCATAGATTTCCTTTTGTGCCTTCTCAGTTGTCTTTAAATGTAAGCAATGATTTTTCCCGGTCGTTCTACCACTTGTTGCATGAATACTTGGCTCATCTTAGTGCCTACATATGTTGGAATTCCATGCAACCCATACGATCTTGAATATCACCTTTTGATTTTTTTCTTCATCCCGTTCATTAGCCACGATAGGTGCCACTTTCTTATTAAGTGCATACAATGTTGTAGTGAGATTGTTGTTACAAGACCATTTATTCTTTATGTCATTATGCTTTGGTGGAAGCCTTCTTCCTTATTTCCTCAACTAGTCTTTCTTTGTAGTACTTAAGGAGACCTTCTGGCTCTTGTAAGGTTACGAGCTTGTTATATTGTATACCCGAAGGAATTTTCGATGTTCTTACTCGCCTACAAATATCCTTAGTTATATACCTTCGTGCCCTTGTGCTTGTAGGGTTACTTCTGAACTCAAATTTTGATTGTTTCCTTAGTGGCACTCTCTCTTATTTCTGTAACACTTATACAGTACCTTTAATTATTCCAACTCCTATCTGAATATTTCTCAAGGGTTACGACGTCATATTTGCGAGACTGAATTCACTATGTTAGGCTCTTCCTAAATTAACTACAGACTACTCGTTGGTCAATTCTCATATCTATATTCCGCGTAACCCTTCTTGGGTTATGTCCTTTGTCTTAACTTACCTCTCGTATAGGCTCCTTATGTATCAAGTGTTCATTCACACTTATTTATCAATATCATCGAGTGCGGAAAACTTACTGCTTCTCCTCGGCGTCATGCTTGCATAATATTCTGGAGTCATATAATATCTATAGGATTTGAATAGATGCAATCTCATTCCTTTCACTTTTTTACCGCATTCTTCCTTTACTATTCCATAATTACCTCTTCATCTTTGTCAAATATTTTTTCCACATCTTCACTGACATCTTACTCGCCTTGCGGTAACCCTTCTATACCGGGGATAATTGAATTTCTTACGCACAAGGGTGACACTTAGTGTAACTGACACACTTAGTCCCTTAAGCTTAACTCTGCTCACCGTGCATGCTTTAGGGAAGCGTCTTCCCGAATGAACTTTAAAGGTTATTCTTTTGTTATCCATTCTATTATTGTCGGAATGTTATCTCTAAAATTCTCACGATGCCGACTATTATAAAATCCTTCGGTCCCTTGCCCATACTGATTTCTATTACTTTCTGGGGGTCTAACTTGTCCTTCTGGTACTCACGTTGGAGTCACCAACTAATTTCTCGAAATTGGGGATATGACTTTATGGCTTATACTCTTTTATTGTTTCATGACATGTCTCCTCTTGTCTTTTCCTGCACTTGACTATAGACTCTGTCATCGTGTCATATTTTGATTTAGTGTTATCACCCATATGTCATATCTTACTCATGATGCTTCATTTACTCTCTTCTTATTCTCCGGATAATATTTTTGTCTATCACTTTATTCTGAAAACTTCAACAAAATGTTCTTTCACTTTATCTCCCCTTGCTTCATCTCACTGGCTCTTCGGAATGCCTAACACTCTCCCTTTTTTTTACTCGGGGGATTCCACTGCCTATCTTCTGAAATTTCTGAAAATTCTAGTATTCATATCCAGTGGCGAAGCTAGAAAAGTTTTCAAGGGCATTCAAACTTGAACAAGAAAAACAATTCTCAACAAGCTGGTGCACCGAAAAGTTTAAATCAAACAACGTGATATCGAGCTAAATTATAAAAATACGGTTAATAGTACGAACAATTGGATAAATCCAAACTAATATAAAGAAGCATCGAAAAGAGATTCTACTTATTACAATTGTACTCGATGAGGCTTCATCTCTTGAAATATTTTTATAATAGACTCATTAGAAACAAATCTAAATACTTCTCTTTCTACATAAGGCACTATGCAACCGCCTAAAAATTCATTATCCATTCGATTCCGCAAGTTATTCTTGATAAACTTCATTGCTGAGAAATCTCTTTCAACGGTTGCAGTGGCAACAGGCAGAAGCAGCGCAAGTTTCACTAAGAGGAATACAAGAGGATAAATCGAATACTTCTTTGTCTTAACTAATCATTTTGAAATATCAGAAAGCCCATTTAGATTGGAGAACCTTTCATAAAAATCACGAACATCAATAATGTAACTCGCAAGTTGATTCTCAAGAGCACTCATCCAAAATTCATCAAAGTCATCAGGATACAATTCAGGCATCTTCATTATTTTTCTGATATCAAAACTTGAAAATGAGTCAATTGGATTCAAACAAGCAACTCCATGAAGCAAATCAGTCGTCACTTCGTCAAAACGATCATTAAGTTCTTGAAGTTGCCAATCAAAAACTTTACAAAACACATCAACACGATAATGATGAAAGACAGTATAATCAGCAGGTTTTCGTCGTGATCTTCCAGAGTTAACATATAGATCATCAAAATTAGGCACCAAAATACCATGCTTGATACAAAATATAGATACTTTATCAACAAACAAATTTCATTCATCATCCCTCCTCAAAGTTTGCAATCTTTTCTTTGCTACTTGAACAAGTAGCATGGCATTTGCAATATCTTGCTCTGTTTTTTTTTTAAGGATACATTTAGCTTGTCACGACCCAAAATCTCACCCGTCGTAATGGCGCCTTTCTCAATACTAGGCAAACCGACAATCTCAATAAATCACCATATCTTTTAAGTTTGAAAGCATAATATCTAAATTTAGCAGAAGAAAAACTCACAAGTACATATATAAACACTCCCAACATATCTGCACATGAAGTGCATGGTGTAGTATGAGTACAACCAACTCAATAAGTAACAATAATAAATAAAGAACTAAGATAGTGATGAGCTACACAGTTATAGTTCACTTTCAGTAATTCCAGCAAAGAATAGACATGCTTTCAAATCCAACAGTTTAAGTCAAATCAATTTTATACAGTTCAAGTTCATGTAATCCGGATATAAAATCTTTCAGAGAATTTCACAACAATGACAAATAGCAACTAAGTGCAACAACAAATGAAAAGCAAGTACAGCCTCTCAGGGCAACAGTCACTCAATTTATCACAACAGCTCAATCACTCGGCTCTTAGCCCTCAGCACTCACACTCAATAGGTACTCGCGCTCACTGGGGGTGTACAGACTCCAGAGGGGCTCCTACAGCCCAAGAGTTATAATACGCACGGGCAACTCACGTGCTGCATGGACAACTCACATGCTATAATATCCCGCACGGACAACTCACGTGCTGCACGAACAACTCACGTGCTATAATATCCATACCTCACCGACAGGCCCTCGGCCTCACTCAGTCATCAACCTCTCTAGTCTCTCAGGCTCTCGGAAATCACAAAGATCAGCCCCAAAAAAAATAACATAGTGTATCAACAAAAGTCAAGAAAGACTGAGGTATGATATGCAAGTAAAATCATGACTGAGTACAAGACATCAATTAGCAAATAATTCAACGAGTACGCGACCTCTACGGTTCCCAACAGTACTATCACTTAGCATAGGCATGATTTACAGTCAAATTTCTTTAACACATAGAGAGCATATAGCAAACAACAAGTTATTCAAATTTACAGTTTCACGGGACGGACCAAGTCACAATCCCCTCGGTGCACGCCCACACGCCCGTCACCTAGCATGTGCGTCACCTCCAAAATAATCACATGACACAAAATCCGGGGTTTCATACGCTCAGTACCAGATTTAAAACTGTCACTTACCTCAAACCGTGAAATTCTTATTCCGCTAAGCCTTTGCCTCGTTAATTGGCCTCCAAACGCCTCAAGTCTAGCCACAAATAATTCGATCCAGTCAATAAAATTTATTGAAATTAATTTCATAAGAAAATGCTAATTTTCCATAAAAATCCAAAATTTAGCTCAAAAATCGCTCGTGGGGCTCACGTCTCGGAACCATACAAAAGTTACAAAATCCGAACACCCATTTTGATACGAGTTCTACCATACCAATTTTATCAAATTCCGATAACAACTCGACCTCTAAATCTTACATTTTTGTTTTTTGAAGATTTTGCAAAAATCTTGATTTCTTCCATTTAAATCCGAAATAAATGATGAATATAATTATAGAATCATGAAGTATAATCACTTTCGGATATAGAACACTTACCATAATCTATATGGTGAAAATTGCCTCAAAAATCACTTGAATCCGAGCTACATAGCTCCAAATATGTTAAAAATGGCTGAAACCTTAAAATATAGCTATTGCCCAGGTATTTACTCTTCGCGATCGCGAAGCACAACTTTTCTCAGCCCAAATATTTCCTTTCGCGATCGCGGACAATGCTTCGCAATCGCGAAGAACAAGTGCCCAGCTCTTCCAGATAGCCTCTAGTTCAATGGTCATAACGTTTTTTTTTTCCAAAACTCCAAATTGCAATTGGTTTAACTTTCGGAAAACTAGACACCAAGGTCTATAACTTTCATTTGTTGCTCATCTCCCAATTCCTTATAGATTGCGAGATATAAACTTCCAAAGTCAGCCCTGTGCAACAGAGATTTCCAAACTCTTCCCAGACAGCCTATAGTGTATCCACTATAACTTTTTGTACATAATGGGCTACAACTTTCATTTTTGAATCATCTCCAAATTCCTTATAGATTGCAAGATATAAGCTTCCAAAGTCGGGTCAGCGCAGCAGAGGTTTGTTCTACGCAATCACGAAATAGCTTCCGCGATCGTGATTCATAAGGCCCCAAACTGTTGTTTACTCTTCGCGAACGCGACCTGATGTTCGCGATTCACACCTATGTGGACAAAAACCAACAATTTAAAATGGCCTAGAAATGGTCTGAAACCACCCGAAAACTCACCCGAGCCCCTCGGGACCTCAACCAAATATACCAACAAGTCCTAAAACATCATACGAACTTAGTCGAAGCCTCAAATCACATCAAACAATGATAAAACCACGAATCATGCCCCAATTCGAGCTTAATGAAACTTAGAAATTCCAACTTCTACATTCGATGCCGAAACCTATCGAATCAAGTCTGATTGACCTCAAATTTTGCACACAAGTCATAATTGACATAATGAAGCTATTCCAATTTTCAGAATCGGATTCCGACTCCGATATCAAAAAGTCAACTCCCCGGTTAAACTGCCAAACTTAAATTTCTATTTTAGCCATTTCAAGCCTAATTTAGCTACGGGCTTCCAAAAAAATTTTCGAACACGCTCCTAAGTCCAAAATTACCATACGGAGCTATTGGAATTATCAAAACACTATTCTGAGGTCGTTTACACATAAGTCCACATCCGGTCAATTTTTTTAACTTAAAATTTTCAATTATGAGACTAAGTGTCGCATTTCACTCTGAATTCTCTTCGGACCCGAACCAACTAACCTGGTAAGTCTTACAACGACTGTAAAGCATAAATTGAGCAGTAAATGGAAAAATGGGGCTGTAATACTCAAAACGACCGGTCGGGTCGTTACACAACTCATTAGTGATTCCCAAAATATCTGTCATTAAATGCAACAAGAAAGCAACCTTATATGTTTGACAAGCTTCAAGATACCCCGATGCTTTAGCTCTATCATCTAAAGTACATGCATCTTAATCAAGAGTAGCAAGAACATCAACTATAGAGCCAAACATACGAATAAAGTTTCCAAATGACTTGTAGTGAGATCCCCAATGAGTATCACCGTCTCTAACAAGACCAAGTTCTTGATTCAAGCCTCTACCTGTGTTTAGTTCACCCATATCTAATGCCTCTTGGAGTTTTTCATTTTGAGAATCTCGAAATTCATCCACATGTTTAAAAGAAGCTCCCAACACATTCAAAATATTTGAAACCAATAATACAAGTTCACCTACATGAACACGCTTCTTAGAAACCGCAACAAGAGTTAGTTGAAGTTGATGTGCAAAACAATGAATAGAATGAGCCGATCTACTTTCTTGTTTAATCAACTTCTTAAGACCTTAATATCACCTTGCATATTGCTTTCCCCATCATAACATTGTCCACGTATAAAAGATAAACTTAAAGAATGATGAACAAGTAGATCGACAATTACTTTCTTTAGAGATAAAACACTAGTATCTCGAACATGAACAATGCCAATAAACCTCTCCATCACACTTTCTTTTTTATCGACATACCGTAAAACAATAGCCATTTGCTCTTTGCGTGACACGTCTATAGACTCATCAACTAATAAAGAAAAGTAGTCACCATTTAGATCCTCTATTATAGCCTTAATAGTTTCTATCTTACATGCTATCACAATTTCTTTTTGAATATCTGAAGAAGTCATCTTATTATTTTTTGGAGCACATTTCAACACAAAAGGTTTAATCTTATCACATTTATCAGCATACCATGAAAGAATTTCAATAAAATCACCCTCGTTCAATGACGATTCACTTTCGTCATGACTGCGAAATGCAAATCGTTGATTCAAGAGAATCCTTACCACATCAACTGAAGCATTTAAGCGAAGCCAATACTCACGCTTAATTTGATCATACTGTTTGTCAAATTCAGCAATAATAGACTGTTGTTGCTGCATTAGATCATCATAATTTCTATTTGCTTTATTGTGAATACTATTTGGCAAACCAACATGTTTCTTAAAACATTCTTTTCTGTTCCAATTCCTAAACCCTTTACTCGAAAAAACATCACCACCGCCTTGATGAATATTTTCGCCCTTAAATAAATAACAAGGTAAACAATATGCAGCATCGGTACTTACACTATACTCCAACCAATTAAAATCATCAAACCATATAGGATTAAAATGATGCTTAAATCCAGAAAATTCAGATTGAGGGAAGTCATGATATCGAGGTTGGCAAGGACCATATAGCAATCAACACGTTATTCAACTTTATAGTTTTCACGGGATGGACCAAGTCACAATCCCCTTGGTGCATACCCACATGCCTGCCACCTAGCATGTGCGTCACCTCCAAAATAATCACATGACACAAGAATCTGGTGTTTCGTACCCTCAGGACCAGATTTATAATTGTTACTTACCTCTAACCGTGAAATTCTTTATTCTGCAATGTCTTTTCCTCGTGAATTGGCCTCCAAACGTCTTGAATCTAGCCACAAATAATTCGATTCAGTCAATAAAATTTATTGAAATTAATTCTATAAGAAAATACTAATTTTCCATAAAATTTTGAAATTTAGCTAAACAATCGTCCGTGGGGCCCACGTCTCAGAACCCGACAAAAGTTACAAAATATGAACGTCCATTCAACCACAAGTCCAACCATATAAATTTTACTCAAATCCGACATCAACTCGACCCTCAAATCTCCAAATTAAACCAAAAGGGTTTTCACAATTTTTCCAACTTAATTCACCAATTAAATGTTAAAACAACCATGGATTCGAGTAATTTAACCAATATTGAGTTAAGAACACTTACCCCGTTATTTCCTCTGAAAATCTCCCGAAAATCGCCTCTTCCCGAGCTCCAATCCGTCAAAAATGAAAAATGGGACGAAGTCCCATTTTCTGAACTTAAACTCTCTGCCCAGTCATTTGCTCTACGCGATCGCGAACATTCCCACGCGATCGTGAAGAACAGTTTTCCACTGCCCAGATTTTCTTAATCGCGATTGCGAAAATGGCCTCACTATCGCAAAGCACAAAGCAGACTGCCCACACATTTTACCCTACACAAACGCGGAATCACTCACGCGATCGCGGATCACTACCTCTCAAACATACGCGAACGCGTTAAGCCCCATGCGATCGCGTAGAGCAATTGCCTCCCTTCATCTACTGCTCAAATCCTTCTACGCGAACGCGACCTCATCCACGCATTCGCAAAGCACGACTTAATACACTTACGCGATCGCGTTCCTTCCTCTACGACCGCGTAGAACAAAAATACCCCTGCCCAAAATAAGCTTATGTGATCGCGTCCCAATCTTTGCGATCGCGCAGAAGGTTTGAAACACAAGAAATCAGCAGCTACCAGCAGTGCAAAAAATGAAGAAAAATAATACGAATACCATCTGAAACACGCCCGAGCCCCTCGGGATCTCAACCAAATATATCAACAAGTCATAAAACATCATACGAACTTAGTCGAGTCTTCAAATCACATCCAACAATACTAAAAACACAAATCATACCCCAATTCAAGCCTAATGAACTTTGAAATTTCAAGTTTCCACAAACAACGCCGAAACCTATCAAATCATGTCCGATTGATCTCAAATTTTTCATAAATGACATAACGGACCTATTAAAATTTTCAGAATCAGAATTCGACCCCGATATCAAAAAGTCACCCCCCCCCCGGTCAAACTTCCCAAAAATTTAACTTTCGCCATTTTAAGCCTAATTCCACTACGGACCTCCAAATAATTTTTCGGACATGCTCCTAAGTCCAAAATCACCATACGGAGCTATTGGAATCATCAAAATTAAATTCCGAGATCGTTTACACATAGATCAATATCCGGTCAACTATTTCAACTTAANACAGGTGCTTCCGGTACCTGTCCCCCCCCGGTCAAACTTCCCAAAAATTTAACTTTCGCCATTTTAAGCCTAATTCCACTACGGACCTCCAAATAATTTTTCGGACATGCTCCTAAGTCCAAAATCACCATACGGAGCTATTGGAATCATCAAAATTAAATTCCGAGATCGTTTACACATAGATCAATATCCGGTCAACTATTTCAACTTAAGCTTCCAACATGAAAATTTATTCTTCCAAGCTAACTCTAAAATACCTTAAAACCAAGACCGACAATTCACACAAGTCATAATACCTCGTAGGAAGTTATTCAAGACTTTTAATAGTTAAAAGAAGCGTAAATGCTCAAAACGGTCGGGCGGGTCGTTACAATCTCCCCCACTTAAATATACGTTCGTCCTCGGACGTGCCAAGAGTTGTTCTTAACCTTGAAATCTCTATTCCACCTTACCACGCACACACCCGGGGGTGATCTCACGTCACCCTACTCTATATAGGCCTGACCATACAACATAACTGAAAATCATTAATTTAACATTAGCCCAAAAACCTTGGAGCCAAATTTCTAACATCCAGAATTCTTTTCAAGACCCGAATCTCACATCTACATACTGTATAAGCCTGAACAAGTTGTATCCAGCCATAACCATAATCCCAAATATAATCGCATAACATACTACACAACTCGCATACTCGTAACACCATTTCTGATCACAGTGACTACTCAAAACCAACCAAGTACTAGTATAAAACCTCATATCAATCCAAACCTCGTTCCAAAAACCTTCGTACACTGCTGATAATAAAAGAAACATGCATAAATCTCATGACCCCTTATTAGAGAAACAAGTCATGGAGCTCTCTCGCCCCAACCAGAACCATAATTACTTTCTAAGCCGACTTTCAATATTATCCTCCCGAATATACCGTAATCAAACCTGATAGTACCCATTCTAGGTCCAATGACCTTATATTATTAAACACAACTATCTCATAGACACGCCACATCAATATAACTCAAGCCACAACTGCACAATCTGTGTACCCAAATAGGGGAGATGTCTCAAGGAATAGAACCGTGTTGGAAGTTCAACAAGCACCACTACAACCGTAATGTTACAACCAACTCTTCAAATTTCGTGAAGAGGATAACTGTAGGTGCATATGCACAATTGTAGAGGAATGAAATAATGAATCTGATAAATTATCATAGAAATAAAATTTCCACACACGGCACGAACAACTCACGTGCCAATAATATGAATCGCCCGACATGGTCACAGGCCTCCAGTCCCAGCATATCATGCAGGAGAAATTAAACAAGCACACTTGTATATGATAATGAAATAAGATTCTCATACTCCTGGACTGGTATAAATAGCACGCCATAGAGCAAGCATGTGCAAATCTGTTATCACACTTCAAATCGGCAATTTTACGTAGAATTAGTAACTACCCCATTTATTTAGGGAATCATCTTCTTTGTAACCTCAAGTATAGCCCAGATAGTTCTCAACAAAGGTACGAATACGAGAAATATTATAACTTTAATCTTAACAGTCAACTCTAGGCATATCATAGCCTAAGCATTTTTCGGAGTAGGAATACTTGCCCTGATACCCGCACATGGGCTCAACCTCACATATATGTGCACTCATAGCGCGTAGCTATCACAAATAATTAACGCAACTAGTGCCTCCACTGAGTTTAAATAAAATACTCACCTCAAACAGGTCGCAACCCTGAAATAATATGCTTCTGAGAACTCCTAGTCTCCAATTTCATAGGACACATGAATCACCGTAACTGATCCCAACTCCAGCACTCGAATGACTAACACACCTTTCATGCGCGATCCTCCCACTAGGAATACTTCCAAAATTCATCTGTGCCACGTAACAATAATTTGAATATCAGCAGTCTATCAACCAGGTGAGTACCGCAATACCAATGAACATCCGTAAGTCAAAACACATTGCGCCATTCTGAAATGTGCACCATTCTCAGGGATTACTGAGCAGCTATAACATTCATCTAATTATCTGAAATTGACCATTCTGTCCAAAATTCGTGATCTTCCTTTCAAGAATAAACTGCCACCTTGTACCTGCAAATCTTAATCCCGCACATCACACCACATCTATGAGGTCAACATGTGACAAGCATAATAATTTCATTATCAACTTTGTGTCACCAGTAATTTACCTACCCGGTTAGTTAGAAACCTTCCTCTTGCTCCCAAACAGGAGAAAATCACAATACACAACATGTTCCTCACGCTGGTAGGACATATCCGGCTCAAACCATGGTATAAACCATCATAAACACTTTGAAATCCATTTGCACACAACCAAGATATCAGACTAAATTCCTCTGACTCGACTAAGTCATGCAAGTCACCAACCCAAGAATATTTCCACTAAAACATTCCTAGAGCCTCACCACATCATAATTACCAACAGAATCGAGCATACCATTACCATATTGATCCAGCATGTTACCCATTTGTCCTATTTTCTCCGAGTTTTCTTCTGTATTATCCTCAAGTTGTCATTCCTCCTTGTCAGAACACTATGATCCTTACCCAATCTCACTACAAGACATCCTAACATAAAATCACACTGTCCTAAGGCCCATAAGCCATTGTATTCTCCTTAAGTACCTCCATAAATACCACAACTGTAACACTCACTCTAAAAATACCTTATGCGAATTTGAAATTGTTCCTCTCTCCTTTCTTATACTGAAATGTAGAATCCATAGTTATACAAAATTATCGCAATTCCCGACACCTTCAAATGCAAAATCTCAGATTTTATCCATGTACAAGTCCGGAAGCATTCTCAATTGCTATATAAAATTCTCAAACCCATTAGATTTTTCTCGGGAGTCACCCACGTTGCTCAAATCCAAATTGCATTGTCCAAACGGGCCGAAAGACACAAGCCCCATTAGCACAACAACCCCCAAAGAAGTAACCCTGCCTTAACACCACCAATCAAATTCATACTCCGTGCGTACTACGTTCTTCAAAATAACGATTTAATCATTACATGATT